GAGAGATAAAATATAAATTTTCACTTACAAAGCAAGGAAAATAAAAGCAGTGTGGTAGTCTGTTTCTGTTGCTTATAACAGAATACCTGAAACTGGGTAATTTAGAAAGAAATGAAATTTGTTTCTTACAGTTTCAGAGACTGGGAAGTCCAAATCCAGGGACACATCTGATGGAGGCATTCTGAGTGGAAACTCTCTACAGTGTTGTATGGTGACCAGGGTGTCACATGGCAAGAACGTGCTGGACAAGAGAAATAACCTCACTTACACTCCTTATAAAACCATCAGAACCATGCCTATTACTCCATGAATGAATCAATCCATTCACAAAAGTACAGTCATCACAATCTAATCACCTCTTAAAGGGCCCAAGTTTCATAACCAGATTTCCTACCCTTTAACACTGTTACAATGCAGGTCAAGCTTCAGTGAATTTGCAGAAAATATTCAGTCTACAGCAAGTAGTTAAAGTAAGTTGCGAAAAAGAAACAATAAAAATAACAAAATAAAATAAATATGACAAAAAATGGACAAGCAATAGAAAAAAAATCAAAGAAACAAAAAGCTGGTTAATCAAAAAGATCAATATAATTGATATAAATCTCCAGCTAGCCTGATCAAGGAATAAAACAGAAATACAACAGTATCAGAAAAGAAAGGATATGATTACAGGTCCTGCAGACAGTACACAGATAGATAATACAGAAATTTTATTGTTATCTATTTCCAAAAAGATACATTTAAGCCTTAACCCCCATATCTGTGAACGTGACCTTGTTTGGAAATAGGTTCTTTGCAGATGCAATCAAGCTGAGGTCATTAAGGTGGGCTCTAATCCAATATCACTGGTGTCCTTATAAAAGGGAACCTCATGTAAAGACCGAGACACATAGGGAGAATGAGGTGACAGAGACAGAAATTAGGGGATATAGCTGGAAGCCAAGTAACACCCAGGATTGATGGCCACCACCAGAAGCTAGGAAAAGGCAAGGAAAGATTCCACCCAGAGTCTCAGAGGAGCATAGTCCTACTGACACCTTGATTTTGGGCTTCTGGTTTCCAGAACAGCAAGAAAATAAATTTCTGTTGTTTTTAAGCCACCAGGTTTGTGGTACTTTGTTACAGCAGCACTAGGAAACTAATATGATCATAAAAAATAATATACTAATAAATTTAACTATTTAGACAAAAGGGACAAATTTCTTAAAAGATAAAAATTACCAAAATTGACAGAAGAAACAGAATGCCTAAATAACTTTAAGTCTTTTTAAAAAATGGTATTGCTAATTAAATACATTCTCCCAAAGAAAACTTCAGGTGCAGATTATTTCACTGGTAAATTCAAGTAAACATACAAAAAAAAAATGAACTTTCAAAAAATAGAGGAATATTTAAAAGTATCCAAGATAAATACATAAGGACAGTATTTCCCCTGTACTACAAAAAGAAATAAAAACATTTTTTTTGTTTTTTATTTTTGATTTTATTTTTTTTTTTATTTATTTGTTTTTTTAAAAATTTTTTTTTTGTTGTTAAATTTTTATTTTGTCAATATACACTGTATATGATTATTAGAAAAAGAAAACAGACCAACCTCTTAAGAATATAAACACAAAAAGCCTCAAAAAATATTACCCAAGCAAATTCAGCAGTATGTAAAAATGGACAATAAATACATCATGACCAAGTAGGATTTAACTAAAAAATTCTAGTTTTGTTTAACATTCAAAAACCCATCAGCATAATTCACCATATACTTAAAAGAGAAAACCTGTACAATCACCTCAATAGATGCAGAGAAAAAATTTATAACAAAATTCAACTCCCATTCATGATAAAACTCTCAATAAACAAGAATAGAAGAGTACTTCCTCAACATGACCAAGAGGATCTATTAAAAAAAAATAATAACCTACAGCTGACCTCACACATAATAGTAAAAGAGTAATTTTATTTTTTTCTGTAAGATTGGGAACAAGACAAGGATGCCTACTATCATCACTTCTCTTTAACACTGTACTGGAGATACTTGCCAGTATAAGAAAGCAAGAGAAAGAAAAGAAGACAAGGAGGAAGTAAAACTTTCTATATTCTGAGAGTATACAACCATGAACATAGAAAAGAAAAATCCAAAGGAAACTTTGGGGGTGAGGGGATCTACTGGAAATAATAATTAAATTTAGCAAGATATAAAGTCAATTTACAAAAATCAATGTTATTTCTGTACTCTAACAACAAATAATTTGAAAACAATTTAAATGCCATTCACATAGCATCAACAAACATGAATTTAACAAAATATGTGTAAAATCTGTATGCTGAAATGTACCACATTGCTGAGAGAAATTAAGAGGATCTAGCTAAATGGAGAGATAAATCACGTTCATGAATTCTAATTCTAATTCTAATTCAATATGGTTAAGATGTCAATTCACCAAAATTAATCTATATATATTCAATGCAATCACAGTCAAAATCCCATCTGGCATTTTTGAAGAAATTTTAAAAAGCTGCATAAACCTGGAATAACCAATACATGAGTACCTTTGCAAAAGAACAAATTTGGAGGGTTAATGCATTTGATTCCAAGGGCTATTATATAAAACAGTAATTGAGACATTATGGTTTTAGAGAAAGAATAGGCTGATTACTGAGACAGAAAAGACAATCTAGAAATTAACCCACATGGATATGGTCAATTAATTTTCTACAAAGTCACTAAACTAATTCAATAGAGGAAAGAAAAATCTTTTCAACAAATAGTGCAAAAACAACTAAATATCCATATGTGGAATAATAGTGAGCTTGACCCTTTTCTCACACACAAAAATTAACTTGAAATGGGCATAAGGTAAACATATAAGTTAAAACTAAGATAAAACGATAAATTAAGCTTTATTAAAATTTAAAAACTTGTGCTTCTTGAAAGACAAGTTCAGTGGTGTTTACAACTAATTGATCACAACCAGTTACAGATTTATTTGTTCTTTCTCCACTGCCACTGCTTCACTTGACTTGCTTTTAAGAAAAAGAAAGGTGCATGTATTGAAACAACACACTGTACCCCACAAATATGTACAAGTAAATGTTAAAATAAAAACTCAAAGAAAAGACGAGAGAGAAAGACAACATAAAGAAAGTGAAAAGGCAAGACACAGACTGAGAGAAAACATTCACCATACATATATCTAACAACAAGAAGTATCTAAATTATATATATGTATATAAACTCTTACAACTCCATAATAAGAAGATGGACAAAATCAATTTAAAAAGGAAAGAAGTGGGCAAAAGATCAACAGACACTTTACAAAATAAGATATATAAGTAGCCAATAAACACATTAGTTTTCAAGGAAATGCAACTTAAAAATCACAATGAGATACCACTACACACCCACCATAATGGCTAAATTTAAAAGACTGACAATATTAAGTGTTGAGAATGATGAGGAGTAACTGGAACTCTCATTTGTTGCTACTGGGAAAGTAAAATGAAATAACCACATTCAAAAACAGTCTAAAAGTTTCTTATAAAATTAAATATGCACTTAGCATAGGACCAGCAATCAGACCTCTAGGTATTTACCAAAAAAAATAAATAAATAAAAGCATATGTCCTCATAGAGACTTGCACACAAGTGTTCATGGCAGCTTTATTCATAATAGCCAAAAATTGGAAACATGTCAAATGTTAATAGGTGAATCAACAAACAAAGTGTGGTATAAATTATATTGTATATTGTATACATACAATAGAATACTACTTAATAACAAAAAAAATGAACTACTTATACATGGGGGTGGGGGGGAAGCATGGATTAATTTCAAAAACAAGCTGAGCAAAAAGAAGCCAGATACAAAAGAGTACATGCTGCATGAAATTCTAGAATAGGCAAAACTAATTTACAGTGATAGCATATCACTGGTTGCCTGGAGCCAGGTGGATGGTGAGGAGCAGGAAGGAACTTTTGAAGGTGGTGAAAATGTTCTATATCTTGATATGATGATGTGTAAGAGGTGCATATATATGTTAAGACCCATATTCCACATGACTTGAAGCGGGTGCATTTTATTGTATGCAAAGTATAACTCATAAACTTGATTTTTTAAATGTCCAGGTAAATAAAGACAAAGAAAGCCTGAACAACTGTTGCAGCTTAACAGAGACTAAAGAGAGTCACAACTAAGTTCACTGCATAAGCCTGAACATGGAAGAAAGATACCTATAAATGACATTTATCAGGAAAGTTGACAAAATTTGAAAATGGATTATAGATTAGATAATATTACTGTATAAATGCTAAATTTCTTGAGTTTGATAATTATAGTATGCTTGTGTAAGCCAAAGTCCTTGTTTTTAGAAAATATTTAGACAAAGGGACATGATGTTTTCAATTTATTATCAGATATGTCAGCAAGGGTTGAGACACAGAGAGAAAAAAACTGTAAAGCAGATAGAGCAAAATATAAACAACTATGGGTAACTATGGGTAAAGGTTATATGGGAGTTCCTTGAACAGTTCTTGCAATTATTCAGTAAGTTGGAAATTATATTTTATAGCAATTTTTTTAAGATAAGTTAAGCTACTAGATGGGAAGAAAAAGATTACTATATTCTAATTCTTAATCATGCTATCTATCAAAGCCAGAATACATTGAAATAATTTATCATGTTGATAAGGAAAAGATCCAGGCTATTTATCAAGGTTCTCTAACTAGTTCTGTAGGTGGTTCAGGGAAATGGAAAGAGCGAATAATTCCTCAGGGTCATTAAAGAAAGAGGCAACTGCTCCTCAAAACCAAAATCTTCCACTCTCCTCTAGGAAGAAAGATGGCATCCGATCTAAGTCACAGTCCAAAAGAACATTTTCTTCCTCGTCCAGCTCATCTCTCTGTTTCCACAATGGACTAAGTACTGCAGTCAAAAACACTTATTTGTGAGTAATCACGAATTATTATGGGAAACAAAAAATAATAATAATGTTCCATTTTCACTTTTTAATCAGTGTGCATAGAAGCAGGAAAAATACAATCAATTCTCTTTTCACAGATACAATTGTAGATTTTGGAGCAATCAGTCATTTCTATTCTTGTGGAGGTTAAAAATGCACATTGTCCACTCCCAGAATGCCAACTCATTATTGTTAAATTTCTGTAGAACAGAAAACATGTACAGTCAACTGTTTAATTCTGAAGTTTACAATAACATAAATCATGATTTTTAAAATTCTGCTGCCTAAATATCTGGAATATGGAAATGTTACCCATAATTTAATCACTATAATATTTTCTTTTGTTCTTAGCCCATTAAATAGAATCATAGCCTCTTACTTCCAACCATGATCTCCCATATTATTCCACACAAATTTTATTCCACACAATTTTTGGTCAGCAGGCAAAATTACCTTGTGATATTGCTATGAGATTATGATATAACAAATCTGCTTTCTTATGTTACTTTTTAAAATAAATGTGAGAGATCTAAAAAAAGAACTGAATTTCTGTGACACAGATAACTCGGTCTCGTGCACATATATTTTAAGGAGAAAAAAGTGGAATTGGAATATAGTCAGAAATGAGGTTCTTCATTGCATTGATGTTTTTGTTCATTTTGTTTCTTTTCCTGCTCCACTCCATCACTAATAGTTATTAGCTGAAGCATGAAAATTAAAAAATATCTAAGTCAGGACTTCTATTTCAGCAAAATGGTAGATTAGGTGTCAGAAGTACATTTCTATTGAGAACAATTAAAAATGCCGAATAAAAAAATTTTAGAACCTTCTTGAATAAATTTATAAGCTGACAAGAAGCAGATTCATTCTCAGGCTGAGAATTAAGTAGAGATGAGAACCCAGAGGTAAATGAAGCACTGATGCAGTAGGCCGAATAATAAATTTCACCTAAGATGGAGATTCTAAACAACAGACAAGTTGCATAGGGCTGAGACCCCAAAAGGATATATCTTTAGTACAAACCACCTTAGAAATGTCTTGAACTTTGGATTTAGGCAGCAAAGAAGAAAAGAATAACTTCACCTAAGAATTCAAAATCACAAAACATCCCTCATGTAATGTGCATTTGCTGTATTATTTAAGAGTATTCAAACCTGCTACAGGAAAACAAACAAACAAACAAACAGATAAGGAAGACAAATGAAACCAAGTAGTTTGAGAGGCACAGGCAGAACACATGCGTTAGGGATGGACATAAATTAGTCACCTATGAGACATGTTAGGTACAGATACAGTGAGCAGAGTACATGTGTGCTGAATGTAAACAAAAGAAGAAATGACCAAGTTGACAATAAGTATCATACAGGAAATATGCATGAGGTGCACACATACTCAACATTCATGAGGTCCTCAGTACACCACCCGTTGGTGATATCCATTCTGACCTCTGCCCAAGAGACACAAATTAAATCCATAGCCACTCAAAAAGTTATTTGGAAAGCTGCAGCTGTGGCCAGGCTTACGTGTTCCTGCATCACCCCGATGGAGAAAATGTGTGTGCTGGCCAAAAGAACCTGTCTGATGGATCTTCTTACTCAAACCTCAAGTCTAGCACTAGAAACCACACCATGATTAGGGAAGGAGTAGGCAGCAGAGAAAGTCCGGCCATATGAAGATTACATAACCCAGGATTCAGGCGATCCCTTCACCTTCTTGCACCTTAGCCTAAGTGGAACAAACTATCGCATCTCTTTTCCCTTGCATTGTGCTATGGGTGTTAATTTGATTTAATTAATAGTGTGATGTGAGCATCTTAATTTGGCCTGTGAGCCTTTCTGTTCTTTGACCTTGGGGATAGTTTGCCCTAGAGTGTACTTGGAGGCTAATGTCATGCATGACATCTTCTGTACGTATGCAGCTCAGAACTACAATACTTGCAGGGCCCAGATTTAGAATTAAAAGTGGCCTCAGATTCAAACTGCCCCAAGGCATCAATCAAAAGCAAAATTTTCTTTGAGGAAGCCACCACCTTCATGTCAGGCCTCAAATACTTTCCACAGCAGCTCAAAAAGAAAAAAAAAAATCACTAGACACTACAAAGAAAATGACAGCATGAACAGAAGCCAGCAGAGACAATAGATTATACCCACACAACTGCAAACATTAGAATTATCAGATACCAAATGTAAGTTAAGTATGCTTAATATCTTTCAAGAAATAAAAGACAACTTGAAAATGTGAGTAACTAGTAAGGATATTTGAAAACGTAAGACAGAATTTCTAGAAATGAAAAGTACAAAAGGTCTTCAAAAAGTTCATGGAAAGATTCATATTATATTTCAAGTATATTTTTTCCACGAACTTTTTGAAGTATGCTTGTATAGTAGTTAAGGTTATTTTTTAAATCAATGAACAGTTTAAAATCACATTAGAGCTAAATGTGAACCCAAGAGTTTACATAATACTGTACTTCAAAACAGAAGGACTATAGTGAAGGCCTATATATATATGTATACTTATAAATAATATGTAAACCACATATTATATTAATTATACTTCCATATTATTTATATTAATATATAAATACTATATAAGCAATACACACATATGTATATTTATAAATAACATATAAACAAATATATATCTATAAATGAATTATATAAGAATTTCAGGTCAATTTGTGGGATATTCATTTTTGGTCATGGGAGGGATCACTATGGCTGAGTCAGGATGACCCAATCACTTCATAGCACCTTACTATGATTTTGGTTCATTTTGTGTGCCTCATAACCCATACTTCTAAGCCTGTGTTTGGCATCACACTTTTATTATTAATAACACTGTATGACACTTCTCTCCTGTTTAACTATACTTTTAAAGAACTTCTTAATTCTTCTTTCTTATTCTTACCATGACCTCTACTTGAAAATGAATTAAGAATCGACAGAGTGAAATGACAACCTACAGACAGAGTGGGAGACAATTTTTCTAATTATGCATCCGACAAGATATTAATATCCATAATATACAAGGAACTAAAGCAATTACACAGTAAAAAAGCAAATAACCCGACTAAAAACTGGGCAAAAGAACTGAATAGACATTTTGCAAAGGAAGACATACAAATGGCCAACAGGTACATAAAAAAATGCTCAACATCACTAGTCATCAGGGAAATGCAAACTAAAACCACACTGAGATATCATCTCACCCCAATTAGATGCTATCATCAAAAAGACAGAGAATAACAAATGCTGGCGAGGATGTGGAGAGAAGGGAACACTCTTACACTGTTGGTGGGACTGTAAATTAGTACAACCACTATGGAAAACTGTGTGGAGGCTTCTCAAACAATTACACATAGATCTTCCATACAATCCAGAAATCCCACTTCTGGGTATACACCCACAGGAATGGAAATCATCATGTCAAAGGGATACCTGCACTCCCATGTTCATTGCAGCTGTGTTCACAATAGCCTAGATATGGAACCAACCTAAATGTCCACTGATGGACGACTGGATAAGGAAAATGTAGTATATGTACACCATGGAATACTATTCTGCCATAAAAAAGAATGAAATTCTTCCATTTGCCACCACGTGGATGAGCTTGGAGAAACTTATGTTGAGTGAAGTAAGCAAAGCATGGAGGGATAAATACCGCATGTGCTCACTCATACGTGGAAGCTAAGAAAGAAAGAAGGAAGGAAAGAAAGACCACAGTGGTGCATCGGACTTGCAGAGGGAGAGAACACACCTACGGATACAAAGTGGAGTGGGGAAAATGGGTATGGGGAGGGAAGTTGGGGATAATTGGGGGGATAATTGGGTGGGGGACATGGGGTATAATCACAATTTGTGGTAAGGGACATGCTGATAGTATTGATCTGGCCATCACATCTTAGGCACGAGTGGTGACAATTTGCTTTGTACCCCATGAATACTCATAACCAATAAAAATTAATTAATTAATTAATTAATTTTTTAAAAAGAAAATGAGTTAAGGTGTGTGAAATGAGAGAAGAATCTTTTTAGACACAATTGTTCCAAGCCTCACACCAATGTTAGAGTACGAATACATTTCAGAAACTTACATTCCAGATGTGCCCACGTCAATCCACTTCCATTTACTTTCCCCTTTATCATATGATAATCCAATCCAGTAATTATTTTTATTAGTCTGGGGTTGAATGAAGGCCTGTAAAGGAAACAAAACTTACTGTGAGACTAAATTTCCATCCATTAAATGGATGGAGAGGGGAGGTGACGGGACCAGCTGTTTCCACGGCCAGCACTCTGCTACCCTCCACACCACCCTGCATCCCTCCTTCCTAGAAAAACCTCTTCCCTCAATCCCTGTATTTTCATTTTCCAAAGTAATTTTCCCCTACTATTTATTCATGTTTTAAAAAATGGCTGCCAGTCTCATAGATTATTTAAAACATGGAAAAATTAAAAATCTAAATATCTAGCAATATTTATTAAATAACTTATGGCACACTCCAGAAGAATATTTAAGAGTATAGAAAAATTATCATCACACAATCTTAAGTGAAAGAAAAACTCTTCAAAACAAATTTATTAAAATAAAAAGTGTGTGTGTGAGGGCTGTGCATGAAAGTCTTCAGCCTCATAAGTCTTTCCCTAAGTCTTGTTGTAGTCGAGTAGTTGGAAGGGGTAAAAGGAAAGGGCGTAATATTCGGAAGTATTTACCATGTCTAAAATGTAATTTATCATAGTGACATATAATGTCTGATTAAATGACTAAATGCATTTTAGAATTTAACTGTGTTCTACTGCATCAACCATATCTTATGACTCAGTATGAATTCTTTTATGTTATGATTTAAAACCTTTATTAGACTTATATATAAATTTTAATTGTTTTGCTAAATTATAAAGGTTTTAGGCTGATCTTTGCAAACATTTCTCTATAAAATCATATTTTGTATTTTTGAATGATTTTTATTAGTGATAAATAAATAAGGCAATTTCAATATTGTTTAATATATTTTCTTTTTTTACAATTTTTTAAAAGATATACATCTTGATATAATATATAAGAATAATGACCAAGTAAATGTTACCCACAGATGCAATAAAAATCACCGTGAGGCTAATTTGTAAACAGTTCCCATTTTTATGTTCCTCATTATCATCTCCATTTTGCAGATAGGCCAGAGAGTTTAAGTAATTTATTGAAGATCACCCGGGTAGTAAGTGTGGCAGAACTGGATTTGATCCCAGGCAGTCTGGCTCCTGGGTTCCTAATAATAACTACTAGACCATGCAACGTCCTGGTTCTTAGCTGCCATCTTACAGGGATAAATAGCTGCTGGTTCCAAGCTGAAATGTACCAAATGGTTAAGTAATTCATCAAGAGAAAGACGTACTTCTCGGTGAGTGGTTTTCCTGCAGCCTCCTTAGAAAGGGAGATGATTGCAAGGACCCAAACTGTATCACTAATAATACTGGTCATCATAATAGATAATATGTACTGAATACTTAGTAAGTAGCAGGATCATATGCCCACTAGCAGGCAGGGGTCCCCGGGGAGACTGTTAACTATACAACTTTTGTTCGCACAAGAGACATTAACACAAAGAATAGCTGAAGTTCCCTCTTTCTGGACTCCTGTCTGTCCTCAATATCTTGGGTCCAAGGGTGAGAGACAGAGTCCAAGAGAATAAAGGTGAATGTAGGAGTCCTTGATACCTTTTCATCCTCGTCATCTATAGTCAAAAGGGATGATCCGTAACGTTGACAAGTCTGTTTACATCCATTCCAGTCTTTTTCTTCCACAGTAAAATAATAACAGTTTACACCACAACAGGACCACTGATCACAGAGTTCGACTACAATATATAAGGTGAATTATTAAACTTCTCGTTATCTGGTATTCTGTTTATCAGAGCCATCTACTTATCAGCCCTCAATTAAATAAATAACTGAATAAAATTGATAACTACATCAGTAGTAATAGCATGTTCATCAGGATTTTGGAATTCCATGGGATATCTTTGCTCCCATGTTCATTGCAGCATTATTAAAAACAGCCAAGATGTGGAAACAACCGAAATGTCTACTGATGGATGAATGTACAAAGAAAATGTGGTACATACATACAATGGAATATTATTAAGCCTTTAAAAAGAACTAAAGCCTGACATATGTGACAACATGGATGAACCTTGAGGACATGATGCTAAGTTAAATAAGCCATCACAGAAGGACAATTGCTCTATGATTCCACTTATAAAGGTATCTAAAATAGTCAAACTCAAAGAAACAGAGGATATAATCGTGGTTGGCAGGGGCTGGAGGGAAGGGGAAATGAGTTGTTCAAAAGTATAAAGTTTCAATTATGTAAAATAAGTAAGTTCTAGAGATGTGCTGTACAGCACAGTGCCTATAGCTAAAAATACTATATTGTACACTTAAAAATTTAAGAGGGTAGATCTCATGCATTCTTACCACGAAATATAAAACAAAGGAATATAAACATGAGGAAACTATGAAGGTGACAAATATGTCCATTACCCTGATTGTGATGATGGTTTCATGGGTGTATGCAATTGTTCAAATTCATCACATTGAATGAACTAAATATGTGTAGGTTTTAGTATATCAATAATACCTCAAGGACTATGCTGAAAAATAATAAAATTAAATCAAGTTTTTAAAAAGATTCTGGAATGCCTTTTAAATAAAAGACACATTATTTTTTGGAACTTTTTATTTTCCTCTTACATTTTTTATTATGTACCACATTTAAAAATATTATTAATCCTTTAAAAACAGAGACATTAATTTTCTAATAACGACTATAACTAACTGAGATCAAATATGCAAAATCTTTTTGTAAACTCTAAATCCTAAACAAATATTTAGTAGTTGTTGATTCATTCAGGTCAATTCATTCCATCATGATGTAAAATAACAGAGTTTACTCTATAAGACTTAGTATTTTTATCTCTTCGGTGCTTTTTATGGTATCATCACACAGAGCTGCACAAACAAGAACACTATTGTGAATTTTGCAGATATAATGCCAGGTATATATATATATATGTGTGTGTGTGTGTGTGTGTGTGTGTGTGTGTGTGTGTGTGTGTGTGTGTGTATACCTGGCATTATATGTATATGTATATATACATATATACATATATATATATATATATATATATACATATATATATATAAATATATAGATAGATCCCAAATAGACCAAATATATGAAGTAAAGACGGAATGCAAACACACATACATATGCACACACACACACACAATTATCTTTATAAGAGCATCCAAATAAAAGCCCCTGTGTCTATTTTAGCCTAAGTATATTTTTACTGACAGCTTCCATATTCTATGTCAGCAACTAAATGGGAGATTCTTATTTGCCCACAGATCCAGAATGGTCCAGATTTTCAGGGGAGCTGATGTAGTATTTCACCTTCTAGGAGCAGTAGGAATGCAAGAACTGCCATTGACTTTGGGGAACTATAGAGCTATAGTAATGTAAACATGGCTCCTGGGGTCCCAATCCCATCTTTGGAACACACAAACCCAAATATCCGTATTACATCTAAGACGCACAAATTAAAAGCTGTCCAGTGGAACTGTAGATCACTAATATATATTATAAGCCTGTTTATTAGGCTTCAAAGCTTCTGAAAGGGAAGATATAATGCACAGTCATTCAATCTCTCATTCAAGATTTTATCCATACCTGCATTTTGCAAACATTTTGATAAGTTCTCTTTTTTTCTATCACATCTCTTCTTTCCTATAGAGAATGACTCCAGTTCCTTTTTCTGCTGAAGGGTTTCATTTTTGAGAATGTCATATTCTAAAGTTTTATTTATCAAAAGTTGCTCCTTTAAGTAGATGTCATTTTGCATAATGTGGTACTTTTGACTACCGTTTCCTAGAATTTCCTGTTGACGTTTTTCTTTATACTGAAAAACTAAAATTAATAACATAGATATAATACAAAAAAGTATTCATGATGTTTAAATTTTGAAATTTAAGATAAAAAAGTTTCACTTTGACAACCAACCCATATCATTACTGTAATTAGCAATGACATTTAGAAAGTAACACCTCAATGAACTGACCACAGAAATGGAAACATAGAATTTCTCACTATTAGCAACTTAAGTGTAGGATAAATAAAATAAGATATCTGAATAAAATTATGATGGTAACACCTTACCTTTCAGGTTAGTTCATTATTAACAGTTAGCACATCATTTACAAACAAGAAACAATGTAAAAATCAGTTAGTTAACATTTAACAGCATGTCTTCTGAGTATGAAAATCTGAACTAAGAAACACGAAGAGATAGCACAATTATTATTGAGGAAGATGGAATATACATAGGGAAAAAGAAAGCAAGATCTAGATATATAATTTTATCTGAGTGTTACATCTTTTTCTCTAAAGACATGAAGTAATTCAAATAAAAGGTAAAGCTTGAATTCAAGATCATCTAACATCTATGTATAGATTCATTCTTTTTAATAGACCATTTCCTCATTATTACTTAGAAAAATATCAAAAGAAAGCCATAATTTTTTATGAATAGCTGTTACTCAAAGAATGCTTATCACAGGTTCACAATTATCAAACTCAGATGGCAAAATATCACTAAATCCTGTATCAGAAGGAATATTACCATGTGTTCTTCACTTGGTAATATGTCTTCAGGGGCAATGGAATAGGTAAGTACAGTGAAAGTGACACTATGGTATGTCTGGGAAAAAATCACTAACAAAGTCCAGAGCCACCTGGGACACTATCAGATTTTAGACAGACAAGAATGGATGGAGCAAGATTAATATACACGATTAGTTGCTACTGCAATAGCTAGGACTAGAAAAATGTATTTTAATTACTTACTCTTCATCACTAACACTGCAACTGTCATCAACAGAAGTAAGCAGAGGATCCCAAGAGTTATTGCAATGAGATGCCAGGGCACTGAAAACACTTTAATAAAAAAATGAGAAAACAATCATCAGAAAAAGAGCCTGCCCCACTGCTAACCTTAACCTGGGACAGCATTTGAAACAAAGGGACAAGGTTCTCTAAAACTTTTAGAAATTGATTTAAATTTGTAATCTAGGAATTACAGTTTTAAACCTCCAGATTTCTGGCTGACATACACCCACTGTATGTATGAATACATACAAGAACAGTTCTATAGGATTTCAAAAGTACATCCCTTACAAAAGCACCCACGGCAATAGACACTATGCAGGCAGGAGAATCCAGACTGACATGTGTACTCCTTCCTACGATCACAAGGAATCGGAAAGAGTAAGAAAATAAGCAGTCAATAGTCTTGAGAAATTGGTAGCAAATAGTGGATATTCTGAAGCTGCAAATGTGATTGGAGTTTCTAGGAATCGACTTTCCTTTCTTTTTCATCAATTATATTTTATATAGTACTGTCTAGAGACAATATATATTTATTATATATATAGTATTATGTGTGTGTGTGTGTGTGTGTGTGTGTGTGTGTGTGTGTGTCCTTTTGCGTTTGAGGTCTGCAGTATCTAAAATTTCTATCTCTTATTATCACTAAATTAAAGCAGTAAAAGTTATTCTCAATTTAGAGTTTAGTTGTGACGATATCTGAAAGTAGAGGGAGAGAGAATAGGAAAATTAGAACACCCCTTTGATTCAAACATTTTTGCTGCTTCATTGCCATTAAGGTTTAATAAATATTTAAGAGACCTAAAATATCTTTTTTTTTCTGAATAAAAACATTGTTTTTAATACATATTTTTCATTTCTTAAGCATACTCCGAGACTTTCATTTCTGTAGGAAATGCCGTGTTTTCTTGAGACCGTAGTCTGTCCTTTACTTTTAAAGGCCTCACAAATTGTTGAGCAGACTGAATAAAAACATTCTCTTAGCTTCTCAAATTCAAAAGAATTCATTATTTTCTCCATTCTCACAAATATTTTTCTAAAAAAGACTTCTGTTCTATTACTCTATCGCATTATGGCTTATTTCCAGTTGAGAACCAGAAGTACAGACAAGATTTTTTTTTTCAAACGTCAAGTTTGACAATTCATAAGAGACAGATGAATTTAGACACTTGAAACATATACCTTTGTCTTCAGTTTTCCCAGGCCTTTGAGTGCCATCAGGCCTTAATCTATTCTGTGACTCTGAAGAAGACTGAAGAAATCTCAGAGATGTGTAAGTCACTTCCTCATTGCTCATCTTTACAGTAAGAAGATAGATATGTCTTGCATTAAAATCTTGCAGTCAAGGATGATGTCTGTCGAAAGAAAAATTTAAATGTCAGCCTAAAGAAACATACCAGGATGCTAAGAGGTATGTGTGTATATATATATATCTGTGGGTAACTGTGTGTATTTGTTTATGAACTCCTTTAAATTCCTAAAGTGTGCAGACTGAACCTAGTCTACACGAGGAATGGAAAACCTTTCAACATTTCTGTTAAAATCATTTATGCTCCTAGTGATCACTGCAATAATTATTAGAAAATATGGAAAAAATAATAAGTAATCTATTAACAGATTATTGTTTTATTCATCCAGCCAATTTCACTCAAAATGTTCAACATAAATATACAAATGTTAGGCAAAATTGGTACCATCACAAATCACTGAAACAGTTTTAAACCATCAATTCAAAAAACAAAAATTTTACATTATGAAAAAATATAAATATCTTGGTTTAAAAAAATTACAAATGTTCTGATATACATAAAAATACTTAAAAGTTCTTGCATTCTTTATAATTTTACGTGACTCTACCAGATGTTTCCCAAAGTGTAGCCCATCTACCATCTGCAAAAGTTATTTGAGGATTAACATTGCAAATTCAGTTTCCAGTGTTCTGTGCAAGACATGCTCAATAAAACTCCCTTAGCTTGGACCAAACACCAACATTTTTAATCCCAAATAATTTCATGTACATTAACTTTTACAAATAATCTTCCAGTGCATGATGTTGCCAGAGAAGCCTATTTGAAAATAAAATTTGTCAGTAGGCAGTCATTAGTTAATGTCCATAAAAGATGTAATCTATTAATGGAAATGAGTATAGAAAGAAATTATTAAATAGTATATATTTAAAATTTACCTTGTTTGTTACATTGATCAGTGTGAAAAAAATGACATTCATGAAACAGAAAATATGAAAAACAAATTGCACATGTGACTTTATTCTTTTCTAATTTTTTTTTAATTTACAAATTTTCCTAAACTTGATTATTCACACTTGCCTTAATTTCCTAAGAAAAGGGAGTTTTGTCTATTATAGACTCCTTCAAGATGGATAATATGTAAATCATTAGACCCAAGTAAAAAGTAATTAACTCCCCAAATCCTTCTTTTTATTTTGACAATACAAAGCAAAAATCACAGCATATTGAGAAAGAGAAAATAACTTTCCATGAATGCTGAACCACACTAATTTTCACATCCTACAGAGTTAATGCAGTTCTAATGCAATCAATAGAGGATGCTTTCCTATCAATCTCATAGTCATGCCAAGACATTTGCAATTAAATGCCATATTCCTAAAATAAGTAAGACTAATAGGGTAATCCGGTACAAAGATTTGAGAGAATAAAAGCAGATTTTACCTGTATCTGTGCCACACAGTGATGCAGGTGGAGAAAACTGACCCCAAAATGAGAGAGAGGTTGGCCTTTCCAGTTCTGGATCTTTTAAGGGCTATAAGACGAAAGGCAGAAATGAATTGCCTCTGAATGATATGCGACTTCAAACCTTTTTGCCCCTCCTCTTGACCAAAGTGGTGAGAGGAAATTGTATGATGAAAGCTGATGCTGACGGAAAAGGAAAGATGGTCAGGAGCTTTATCTTTCTCCATTTCAACTAACCAACCACTTAGAACTCTTTGCAAAATAACGTTCAAGATCAATATTTGAGGACTGAAAAGATAATGAAACACATCATTGGAGAAGAAAAGACTAATATCTTTAACAAAAACTACATACTTAAAAGAAATTACAATATTAGTAAAAAGAGATGACTGTCTATGTATAAAAATATATATGTACGAGTACATATATACAAGAAATGTCATTACTAAATTCTTGAGCTCTTAAATAAACCCTCTCTGTTAGAAACTTTCTCTTATATGTTATTATTCGAAAAAAAGGTTATTCCTCTTTTCAATTTATGTTTATTACAGGTAAATGTATTTTAGAAATTATTTTAAAACACTCATAATTCTATTATAAAAATTTTGGTACAGTTTTTTATCTGTATGTTGTGTTTACTATCAAAGCTGTCTCCATGCATAGTATTTTTGAGCTATTATTATTTTCTAATAAATAATAACCATTTCCTCATTTAAAAAATATTCATCTAAAGAGTGATTTCAAAAATCATATACAGTTAGTACCCACATAGAAATACCGTAATTCAGTTACACAATCCCCTACTATTGTACATTTAGGTTGTTTCCAGTTTTTGCCAGTGTAAAAAATATTTGGCCCAAACTTTTGAATATTTTCTTAGGAAAATTTTTTAAACATAAAATTATGGGATCAAAGGCTACACATTTAAAGAACTCATATATATATTACCAAATGCCCTCTAGAAAAGCTGTTTCCATTTATTCTCTAACAGTTGTCTGAAAATGTTCACATTTGATTTTAAAGAGGTACTGGAGAATTACTTCACTACTTGAGTTTTGCCTATGAATTTACTTCAAAAATATGCCCCTACAACCTTCCAGTGAGGCCTCAGATTTTCACATTTCAAAAACTAAAGTGACTTATCCTTTTTTTTTTTTATTTTTTTTGGTGGATGGCATGCATGGGGATCCAAACCCTTGACCTTGATGTTAGAAGGCTGCACTCTAACCAAAAAAGACCACAATAAAACATTGAGCTTTCAAAAGGAGAGAACAGACCTAGTTACTAGAGATGGAAAGGGGGGAAGGGGAAGAGGGTTAGGGAGTAATGGGGTAAGAGACACAAAGAACAATTATGATTTGTAATGATGAACATACTAATAATATTGATTTGATCATCACATACTGTATATGAATACTGATAGTCAACTCTGTACCCCATAAATATGTATAAACAATTATGTTTCAGTTTTTAAAAAAAGACTAAAAAGAAATCAATTTCTATAATGGTTACCATGAGCCAGACCCTGCCAGATTATATTCAAATATCTCACTAGAGTTCAGTTTTGTTTGATTCAGGCCTTTTCAATCTTCTGGCTACAGTTTTATGAAACCAATTTAAATTGCTCTTCAAATCAGGTGACAGTGGTTAATAAAGAGTGTGGGGATAGGGAGTGGGATGGAGAACAGAAGGGGAAACTGATCGTGCAGAGACAACCCCCACCCACCATTTAACCAGCCTCTGATCAAATTCCTTGCTCAGTATTTTCTTCCCTTATCACCCTCCAGCCACCATGAAACCATCGTTCTTCAGAAGGCCTCCCTGTCCTCAGCGTGCCCATGCCTCCCACCTGTCCTCCAAACTATTTTACAAACACAGTCTACTACGTGTTCTGACCACCACAACCCCGTCTAGGTTATACTTTCTGCTGTTTTGCTCTCCCTGGCAAACAGTCTACTGCCTACTTCTGTCCCCTGATGCAATCTTTGAATCATCACCAAAGTCTGCCACTGTCACCATGTGCAGGCAGTCAGCTGAAACACCTCCCAGAGACAAATAAAACTCAGTAACGTAAGCAAAGTATCATGGGTGGAGTCTGGATGCTTCAGCAATACTTGCTACTGGGCATTTTCTTCTCTCCCCTAACCCTGGATTGGCTTTGTCAATCCCAAACCTGAGGAAGAAGGTTTCTCTCTAGCCCTCTATCCCAATGACAAAAAATAAATAAAACAAAAAATAAAGTTCTGCTGAGAGGAGATAGGAAGTGGAGGTGAGGAGAGTAATAGTGGTTGTTGAAAAAGTGGCAGAGAGAGACTACATTTATCGGAGTACCTACATAACCATATTGAAACTGCCCAACATTGGCAGGTATTTATAGCTGTCCCCATTTGACAAATGAAAAAACTAATGTTGAGGTTAATCGACTTGCCTAAGGACAAAATATTGCTAATTCCTGATGCACATTTAAAATAAGGCCTTACTGAAAACATACAGCACAGACGGACTGGATTCAGAAGGGTCTGAGTTTTCAACAAAACTCATGGCACAAAGCATGAATTCTGGTAACTTCTTGAATTATTTCAAGGCAGATATGGCTTGAAATACCAGCCCCAGCTCATATGTGTGACTTCAGGCAAGTCACTTCACTTCTCCAAGCCTTGGATTCAGTACAGTAGAATGGTGATACTATTTGCCTTCCAAGGTTGCTGTGAGGATTAAATCAAATCATATCAAGTGTCTAACCAGAACCTGTAATAATAGGCTCTCATTGAACGCTAAACATTATTATTTGAAGTTCAAGATTCAAATCCCTCCTAGCTGAACAAGTCACTCTGAATCTTCAAGCCTCAGTTTTCTCACGTTGAATATCATCCAGTTCATAAGCTTACAAGAATTAAATAAATTAGCATTACCAAAAGGATTTCTTAGACTTCAGAATAAGCGGGGTTATTTTGATGTTTTTGTTTGTTTCTCCCATTTCTATAAATAGGGATGCACCAGCATTGCAATCCAGAAATCCTGACATGCAAAGCTAGGTTGTCTATCCTACCCTATCAAGCTTGGAGTACGGGTGTTTGGAAGAAAGGGGCAGGGATTGCACATTAACACGATTTATAGAAGCTGGGAAAAATATACGAGGGTACTTCAAAAAGATCATGGAAAGATTCATATTATCTTTTAATTTTACTTTTCTATGAACTTTTTTGAAGTACCCTGTAGCAGCACACCATCACTGCTCTAAAAAAAAACCATTTTGTGGCCTTAAATCTTATTGCCCATAGAGATAGTGGTGATGAGGCTTCTTACTGCTTTGATTTACATCCTTAGAGCTAGCGAGAGGGTGAACAGTCCTCAGGATAGAGGTTAGACGAATGCAGACAAATATTTTTACTCTTACATATTGTTTTTCCCCTCTCCCATAATCTAAAGTCCACAGGGGTTAGTGCTCCCTCTCTCTGGTTCATTATTGTAACTGCAGCATGTACATGAGATATGATGCCTACAAGCGCACTTGGTGAACAAAGTGGTTAAAGTTGAGAAGAAATTATCATAAACATCTAGATTTTTCAGTTTTAGAGACAGGCAG